TGATAAAAATAATGATGATGTTTGCTTTGTGCTTATGCTGTACCTTTTTACTGGACCTGGTACTCAGAGAAAAATGTGGTGGACAGAACCCCACAGCAGTAATCAGAAACCCAGATTTGAGTCCTTTTTGTCCGTTCTTATTGTGACTTTCACAGTTTTTTGGCCTCTTCCCTTCCAAGTTTCCTTCACTTGTAAAAAGAGTCTACATGTTAATATCTGCCTTCTAGAGCTCTCTGTATTATGAAAGTCTTATTTGACAGGCATATAAAGTACATAGAAAACTGTTCTTGCAGATGCGTGCAAAGAAATACAGAAAGAGGTAAAGTTTAATCAGAACCTCCAAGGTGCTAGAACAATGGTTTTCCAACATTTACAGTTTGGAACTGTAGTCCATTAGAAGAAACATTTTATACTGCAAGCAGTCACCACTAAAAGAAAAAAATTAAAACAATGCTAGATTATTTTGATATTTTAGATTTGATCCTCTTCTTTTTTCCCCTTTGCTTTCTTTTGTTAAAAATATGGGTCACTGTGTGTCAGGATGGCCGAGTGGTCTAAGACGCCAGACTCAAGGAGAAAAATGTGGGTCACTGATTTCACAAGGTATGGTCCTGACCCTCAACTCTCACTGGGCATCAGAATCATCTGAGGAGCATTAAAAAAAAAAAAAAATCATTGCCCAGGGCCTTCTTACCAAAATTCTTAATCAATGGTTTGAGGTGGGGGGCAGGGGACATCATTATTCTTAGCCCATGTGAGTCTATAGTACAGTGAGCACCAAGAATAACAGAACTAATGGCTTCTAGCTCACAGCTGAAAGGCCGCAGCATTATTTACATCCATCTGCTACACACTACCCCAGGAATGCTGCCCCTGCCACCCCACTGCAGCTCTGCTGGTTACTGGAGTGTATTACTCACTCCTGTGGCTCCAGCGAGCATGAGGAAAACACAGCAAGGAATGAGGATCAAAGGGGAGCCTGGGCTTCACTGGAGGCCTCCTTTCTCCTTCCAGATGGCCAGGAAATCCCATGCAGGGCAAAAACTAGAGTGAATTTCGAGTATTTTGTTCAAAGTGAAGGGACCCTTAGAAGGACTCTGTGCAAGAGTTGGAGGGGTGCAGGAAAAGTAAAGGGAAACTGCCTTAGCTCAGGCCAGCTCAGGCCTGCCCAGGCGGCAGAGGAAGCCTGGACCTCACGCAGGCGCTGGAGATAAGCTCAAGTGGGAGGAGGATCCCATGTCTGGGCTTCTCCAGCCTGAGCACTTCATTTCTCTACACAAGAGAGGTCTGGGTACTGTGCTGTTCTCCTGGCTCGAGTGATGTGCAGCCTCCAGATAGCTGCCAAGCAGAACCAGGGCAGAATGCAGGTGAGTGCAGGATGTGAAGCTCAGGAGACAAAGTCTGTTCTTGTTTTCCTGCCTTGTGCCCTTCCTTACCTGCCTGAAGCAGATACTCTCACTAAATGTTGCACATTTCATGAAACATCAATTTCAAAGTTACCCCAACCATTTGATTAAAATTAAGATAAAATTATTTGCCTACCTGTTTGTATCTTCCTAATTTATAGTTCATACAATTTCTAAATCTAAAAAAAGTTGATATTTATAAAAAAGCTGATTCTCAAGTTACTTTTCACAAATCACTTAAAAAACAAAGCAAAATTCAAGTCTGATGGAGACAAATGTTTCTTCTCTCAATACACACCAAGAGAACTACAGTTATTCCATTAAAGTAGTATTTTTTGGGTGGGGCTGGGAAAATTATAGGGGACACTTTTTTCCTGCAAATTTTCAACAAGCTTTTACCCAATACACGTTCTTTTAAAAATCTGAATTCAATAAAGTAGCAAGCTATGGTGGCTTTTAAGGTCAATCTTTGACACTCTTAAGAACCAATAGAGTGAAAACAAAATGTTCTTGTTCACATAACCATTTGCAAAGCCCAGCTGAAGGAATATCATTATCTGAGTTTAAATATGCACATGGCTTCAAAGGAATTTTAACATAAAACTATCATAAGCTATTGAGAACAAAAATAGCTAAATTACTGAGCACTTACATGAGGCACTGAATTGGGTGTTCTAAGGGTCTAAATTTTATTGACTTTTCATCACCCACATGTGAGGGACATACTCAATAGCATCTATATTTTAGGTAAGAAAACTGGGTTCTAAAAATCTGGAATAACTTGCCCAACATCACAGCTAGATCAAGCAAGTTTCAAGTTATGTCTGTTTGAAGCTTTATATAATCTGGAAAAAAAAATTGAGAATTTAGGAAAACAATAAAAAAAAGGGGGATGTTAATGTTAATTTTTTAATGATGTGTACACTGAATCCTAAAGCTACAATGGATTTTCATAAATCTTTCTCTTCTTCATATTTCTGTATAGCTCTTTCCCCATAAGAACTCAAGTCAGGTATTAAGCACATATGGGGTAAGTTAACCTTCTGGGTAGTCTTTTTGTGCACAAACAAGTCTTTTTGCTTGTTTGTTTTGCTTTCTGTAAAAATGTACACTAGTGGAAACTGCTTGGTAAAGAGTACCTGGAAGGGAAAAGAAAGAGTGACTTTCTGCAGCCCAACAAACAGTCAGATAGAAGTCCAATTTTTTTACACACATGCCAGTGCATGAACACGCAAATGAAGACTGTACTTCAAAGCAATTACTTTCCATCCTATACACACACCATACCTTTTATTGGATTCCCCTTTAAGCACTGCCAGCCCTTCAAGAGGACTTTCATTACTTTAATGGGCATAACCCATTATAACCTCAATTCCCCACCGCAGAAGCCAAAGTTGGCCACACATTGCGTCTGGCTGTTTTCCAATGGAGGAAGGTTTGCCATCATGGAGGCAATTCAGTAAATGTGTTGCAAACTCTGAAAGCAACTCCAAAGCAGGAGCTCCAAAATTATTCTCAGCAATGACAGCATCACTAGAATTAGTGCACAGCTTGCCAAGATGAGGTTTCTGAGAGGAAGAAATACTCATTTGAATGTATAAATACTGGCATACTTATTTTAACATTTGGACAAAGAATTGGAAAGATCCGTTAGCTTTATATCCAAATGAATAACTATACTGCAGCAGTAAAGATAATGCAGATTTTCGTACAAGATTCTCAGTAGATTATCAACCCCTTCTTATAGTAACATGCAATAAGGTTATAGACATCCCCTTTAGTGAAAAACAAGTTTGTCCTGAAATGATACTTGTAAAATTGATAAATCTTCTTCCCATTAACTTTGCACCCCAAAGCCAGGAAACTTCCAATGGAGAAATTCATGTAGGATTCCTATCCTGGGTCCTCCTGAAGTAACTTTCATAACAAATATTTAAACTTCTTATTTCACATAATTAATCATATAGGATAAGATAATCAACACTTCAAATGACTAAAGGGAGTCACCACGTAAGACAGAAAAACCAGACGTTTTATCTTTGACACACTTGGCTATCCAGCCACTGAACTCCTAGGCAGCCTCATTTCCTGCAGGGTGACCTGGGCAAGGGTGCAGCAACTCAGGGGTGGGGCTGTGGACCTGTTAAGAGGGCAGTCAAGGGCAGGCCATTTTCCATTCAGGTAACTTCCCCATCTTTAGTAAAGGTGCCTTCGCTGACACAATCCAAAACTACATTATTCCTAGTGGGTTCACAATGCATCCGTGATCAGTATGTGCATTGCTCAATTTCCTCCTGTTTTTACTTGGAAAAACCTCTCATAGGGTAGAGAGTAGGGAGCAAGAAGCACATGTGGAAATAAATTTATACACGCCTTAATAGGAGTTATGCGTACCACACACATAGATTTTACCAGATTTTACCTGTTCATTTGAAACCGCCCTCCATAACTATTCCTTTAAGCCCTCGGAAAATCACTTCTAACCCAGCTCAGCAATATAGCATGCAGGGAAACTTGTCCGGGCCTTGGGTCGCCCCCTTTTGAGTAGGGGCCTGAAGGTCCAGGGCTGCACAAGAAGCTGCTGTTCCCCGCCGCATTCAGGTCCCCGCGTCGCGTTCCTAAGGTGCTTCCCTCTGTAGTCCTTCTCATCCCCCAGTTCCCATTAGTCCAGGACTCATTGGGAGCCGGGTCTCAGCTCTGGGATTGCCAGGTTCGGGTCTCTCGACTGTGAGGGTCTCTCGAGGTGTCCATGGGGTCCCCATTCTATCGAGAACGCTGCGTTTCCTCGGCCCAGACCTTCACGGTCCCTGACCCAATACCCACCTAATTGCCCCGCGGCACCCCCACCTCTGCCGCGGCATTTCATCCCTCTCTTCCATAACCGTCCCCACTTACCCCAGCAACTCGGCCCTCCAGCGCAAGGTACGACTCCGCTTCTTGAGCCCACCCCGGGGGTTGGAGAAGTCCCTTCCTAGGACTCTCCGTCCCGGGAGACCTCTTCTCCCTCCTCCCGGGCCGCCTCGGGCTTCCCCCAGCCTCCCCCCGCACTCCCCTACCGGGTTCTGTACCCTTCGCCCTGCGGAGGGCGCCCCAAGAATGCCAATGGGGCATCCCTTCGTTCCACCTCCAGACTCCTACACCGGAGCTCCCCAAAGTCGCAGTGCTGGCTCCCCTGCCATCCAGCTCCAGCTCCCCAACGTCGCGGTTCAGACACGGCCCCCTCCCCCCGCA